TCAGTACGCTGCTCATACTGCTCCGTATTGAATGTGAATGAGAACGACTTGCGGATTTCATTCGAGAACACCTGCACCGACTCGCTGGTCACCGCTGCTAATATGCGACCAAGGAACCGAAATGGTGCACTTTGATGATGTGTCGTTGTACGGCACTCCGAAAGAGGAGCCATATGCTGTGCTTTAATCTGCATTGGCTTCACTCTTTGGTGGATCATCGACGCAAAGAAGTCCGCGAAGCACTTGCGAGGAGTCGTCGCTGGAATTGGGTCGGTCGAGGACGACCTTACACTTGAGGGGGGGGGTAGTTAACTTATAACACTTAGTTAGCTTATAACACTTAATGTAAGGTATTATTCAACACTTATTATCGGGTGCTAGACAAGTTAAGGAACAGCCCTGGCAAGGGCAACTCTACTTACGCCGGTGAGGCTATGATTTGTAAAAATATAGATCAGTCTCGTGTTTTAACTCGTACTGATAGGACATGCTAAAAATTGGTGTCATATAAGTAAAACTAAAAATAGTGAATATAATAAGAAAAACCAATAAAATTAACTGTTTCGATTATTCAAAAAAGAACAATTAAAAGCAGGGTTAAAAAGCGTTCTTCCAGTAAACCGCTTAAATAAATATTCACTCCGTCATTTGCTCGTTAAATGGCTTATTTCATTGTCTGAGCCCGAGGCCAGCAATAAGAGGCACAGTCGCCTCTCAACCTAACTTTCAGTCACCACAGGACTGGAAAACATATAATTTATATATATATATATATATATATATATATATATATATATATATATATATTTCACATCTGATGCCTGTCCTGAAATGAAACAGATGCCCGAATGCACGCCCCAACGCCCATGAAAGTGGAGCAAGCCGATTTTTCCCGTTTTGCTCAGTGAAAAAAGGGGCAAAAAATAAAAAAAAAGAACTGAAAGAAAACTGACAAATAAAACATTTTCTGTTGTATTTTCTGCGAAAGATGGACGCTGGCTGGCCAAAGGGAGAGAGCGAGCCCATGTTTGTTCATAATTGAAATTTCGCGCTAAACAGGAAGTAGCAGCATTTGTTCTGCATTCCTAGACACTTGTTGTGCCTGGAAGGTTCACTTGGCAGGGCCAACGAGCGGTCGGCCAATGCTGTTCATAAACGGAGGAGTGCCACTGAATTTATGGGGGCAACTGCATTCGGGCAAATGAAGAGCACATGTTCCAAAAGAAAATAATAAAGATAGGTTTTTATTTCGCTAGAAATAACTGCGCCCGACTGAGCACAATTTCCGGAAACGAAAACAAAGCGAACTGAATTCGCAATATGAGAAAAATAATTTAAATGGAATCTATGCCTTAGTAAAAGCTTCCTCACATTCACAGTTTCCATATACGACTGGCAGACAGCTGATGCTGCGACTTAGCGCTTTATTTATGTACTCTGTGATGAGACCTCAACTTTTGTCAATTCCCGGATTTATTCAGCGTTGCTTTGACTGTAATATATATTCCATCCATATTTGCGCTGCTTCAACTCACTTTGGCCGCTCTGCTCACTGCATTTTCTTTAGCTATTCTAGCCCATTTATTTTTCTCGTTTGCTGCGACTGCCACTGCCACTGCCACTGCCGTCTGTCGTCTGTCGTCTGTCAAGTTGCATCGCCAGTTGTACCCACTTTGTATTGGTGCCCCTGATCTGAAGATTGTTGCCTGCAGCGGCACCATCCTTGCACGTACTTCAGTGTGACATGTGCTTCCTCTGTTGTATTCTTGTAGTGCGGCTCAGCGCAACTCCCCACAATATTTTCCCTGTTATTTCCACATGTGAAATTGAACTTTGCATCTTGGCGCAACGTGGCAGCTCTTTTCTGCGCCGCTCGCCCCACCCCGCGACCAATGTTGCACTTGACTTGTGGCGCCCCCTCCCTCGAACGTATTGCACCCCTCGTCCATATACTCTGCCTGTGACGTTGTTTTGACACTGCGAACGCGCGCGCGTGTTTATAAATAAATATTTAGTATACATGAACACACACACATGTGTATATCTGTGTGCGTGCGAAGTATATGGAAATATGTTTGAGAAATATTTCCACGCTTTTGCCCGATTCTTCTGCTGTTCGCTGCTGTCTGACAGCGCACATGTGTCGCGTTTGGCTGATGAATGAGCGGGGTGGGACGGCTGCGGCGCTGCACCCCAGCTTGTTTTTCCCTTTGAAGTTCATAAAAATTAACAAAAAATCAATTTAGAGCACAAATGACGCGCTGATGAGGACGCACAGCGACACGACACGACACGACTTTGAATGCCGTACGAGCGACTTCAATGTTTACATTGCAATCGAACTGAGCGCCGTCTCTGATCTGAGCTGCCACGCCTACCGTCAGGGGTTTGCTGTTGTTTTGCGCGTGTTGATTGCCCATCAAAACAAAGCTTGGCATAGCTGGAGAACAATCGAGTGCAAATAAATCGAATGCTAATGCCAAGAACTTCAATTTGATATGTACATAAGCGAGTATATGCGTGCGAGTGTGTGTGGCTGTGTGGCATGCAACAAAAGAGACTTGTGAACATAAAAATAGCGACGATTATGATGAAAATATTCATGCGACAAACGGAAGCCGAAGCCAAGTGCCATGGCAATGTCCCAGGAGCCGCATAGTCGCAGCGTGTTCTCCCTTCCCCTTGGAACGTGTGTGTGTGTGTGTGTGAGTGTGTGTTGCAACAGTGTGAGCTGTTTATGTGGCAACGTTAGGCAGCACATTCGAGTGCCATTTAAAGCGTCCTCAGTGCCAAATGCGGCACTATCGAGTGGGGCGAGCTCTTGAGAGTCTCAAAAGTCAAAAGATGGAAATTGCCCAAGAAACGGTCGGCATTTTAAGCTCTCGAGTGCTTGCCTGCTAATAAGCTAAGAGGAATCACCAGCAGCAGCAGCAGCACACATAATTAAATTTAATGCCCAATGCGCAGGGCAAACAGTCAGACGGGGACGTAGCTGGGGGCATGGCAATGTCTATATCGAAAGCATCGAAATTCAATTTAGTACAAAATCCCGCGCAGTGGCATAGCCAATGCCAAACGAAATAGAAAATGCCAGAAAATGTGTCTCGCTTTAGCCCAAATCCTGTCATAAATTGCTGCCCTGCCCAGCCCAGCCCAGCGTGCGGCAACAAAAGACAGACGGCCAGACGACACTCGAAAGGAAAATATGCTGATGTCGATGTCGAAATATGATTTGTTTTTTTTTTCTCTTTTTTTTATTTTTTATTTTTTTTTTTTTGAGTAGCTGGCATCCTAACAAAAAATGGTCAGACGGAGCCAGTCGGGGGTGCGGGAAATGAGCTATGAGCGATGCTGTTGTTATTCCTGCGGCTACTGCTGCTGCTGCTTCAAGGTTAGCTGCTCTACAATAATCTAAGCCTAAATTACAACAACCAGTTGATGGCATCGTAAAAAGCACTAGGCACCAAGTTGTAACAACACAGCAACACTTACACACACACACACACCCACACACACAGATACTCAGACACATGCTCGACCTCGCAAATTATAAAGTTGTTTGGCCAAAACTGCTGGCTGGCAAGTTTTCGTTCAAGTTTTCCCTTTTTTATATTTTATTTGGATAAAAGAAGCTGCAGCACGTTTTATGAACGCACATTGATAAGCATTTTGGCATTTGTCGGTGAATGATTTGCAAGTTTGCACAAACTGCTTGCACAAGGCACCATTTTGTGCAAACGTGTGCGAATATCTATCAGCATCAGAATGTGCTGCTGCCCTTTTGGCACAGTTTCCAAAGCGGACTTGAGGAGCCAGCTGGGCAGGGCAGGAGACTCCTTCAAATGTTTCGTTTGCTGGTCAGAGACATGAACTGGAACGCAGGCGACTCGCTGCAGGCACAGCTTTGCATAACTCAAACTAAAATTCGAAAAGTTTTCCTTTTTGGCAGTTGGCAAGCGGGCAAATATGATTTCCATAGCAACCGATCTAACTCAATAACTAGATGAACTGCTTGATTATGTTTTGATTTATTTGTAGCCTTTGAGTGCTTTGAAGAAATCAAAGGGTACTCCGAAGTTGTGGATGCCAATGTCCAATGAGGCCAATGATTTAATAGTGTCTTTCCAGCATGGGATTCGGATTTGCCTTGGATTCCGAGAATTAAGCGTGCATCCGCAATTGACTCAGCTGATCTTGTTAGCATTATATTCAATGACCCTGATGTATATAGTTGAGTTGTTCGCCGATTTATCTTTTTATCTCTTATTCTCTCTCACTCTCACTCTTTCTCTTTTTATGCCTGTCTCTCTCACTCTGAAATCCTGTGTTTGTTTCTGTCCCTCACTGTCACATATATGCTTTTCTCTCTGTATCTCCTATCTCTCTCTCTCTCTATCTCTGTCTGTGTTTCTCTCTCTCATTCTTTCCCTCTCTCTCCTTCTCTTTTTGTCTTGATGTCTTTGTTTCTCTCTCTCTTCTCCTCTCTCTCTCTCTCTGTTTTTCTCTCTCTTCTCATCTCTCTTCTCATCTCTCTCTCTCTCTCTCTCTCTCTCTCTCTCAATGCCTCTAACAGTCTCTCTCTCTTCTCCTCTCTCTCTCTCTCTCTCTCTCTCTTTCTCTCTCTCTCTCTTTCTCTCTCTCTCTCTCTTTCTCTCTCACTCTCTGTCTCTCTGTCTTTCTGTCTCTCCGTCTCTCTCTCTCTCTGCGAGCATTCGTCATAAAACAATTGCGCACAAAGCTCTTAATATATTTTCATACCTTCGCATACTTGCAACTCAGGTAGACCCTTAACATGTATATTCGATAAGTTTACTGTGTATACCCTAATAAATGTAATTTAATTTCCTGTTTATTTACAAGCTCTGCGAAGTCTCGGAAATGTAAATAGACTTAGGAGTTCGAGGTCATATGTACAGGGCCGCAGCAGAGTATCGGCCATACAATCATTGCTGCTTTTTGTAGATTGAAAAATGTTTGCCAAATGTGAAACGTGTACTCACTGTTCTTTTGAAAATCCTGTGATTCCTCTTCCGCTCGAAGAGCCAGCGGCTGCTGTAGCAACAGCAGAAACATCATCGAAACGACAATTGAAACCGTTTTCCTTGTGAACAGCGCCGTTCGCGTTCGTGATTTTCGATGTGTGTTGTGCTGTTCGAGCTGTTGTTGCTCGGTTGGTTGTTTTTGCCAATTGGCGAATGTGGCTATTCTTGAAGTTGTGAGTCGCATTTTTGTGGTTCGCGTTGCAGCTGCAATTGCTGTTGCCATGTCGTTTGCTGATATTGAAAGCTGTGTTGTAGTCATTGCGTTGTACTCGAACGAAAAAACCTTTCGTCATTTATGGAGCAGAGTTTAATTTTTGCAATGGGTCAAAGCAACGAAACCAAAAACGAATATACCAACCAAAATGGCAATGCATGTGGCTGCTGGGCAGTTAATCGACAAATGCCTCTTTGTCTGTATGTGTCTGGGAGTAGATGTGGCTGCATGCGTGAGCGCGTTTTGTTTGAGCTGTTGTTGGCTGTTTCCGTTTCCGTTTTTGACTTTAATGAAGCGCCAACGCGCCTTTAGTTCGTTTCGTCTTCAAGTTGGCCCATAAAAAGCACATTTCCACTGGCATTTATATGTGACTCAGCCGCTGCTTGTTTGCTCTGCTGCTTTCAAATCGAAAGCAAGTCCTGCTGCCACGGGAATCTTAATGTCCTTTTACATGTTTATTTGCACTTTTATTGCCTTTTTGGCATGGCAGATTTGAGACGTCCCTTAGCCGGCAACTGCAAATAGAAAAGCAAGAAAAACAAAACATGAAACATGAAACATGAAACATGAGCTCTAGGGTTCTGCTTTGCAGCATAACAAAAGCAAGACATCAGCTCTGAATCCGGATATGCTATACACTTCTAACATGGGACTATTATCCTATGCTATACAGTTTGCATAGCATAACATATATATATATATATATATATATATATATATATATAAATATTCATATTATTCGCCAGTCCTCTGCGAGTCGAGCGTATTTATGATTCGGCCAGGCCGAAGTTAACTAGCCGTACTTTCATGCTTTTTGTTGTTTGTTGCTTTCGGCAAATATGAAGAGTGCTAATAAAATGTTTTACTGACTTGCGCCGCACACACATCAAGCAAATTGAACTCATAAACTTGGCCGCCAACCAAAGGGTAACCGGCATCGGAACGGGCCTCGAAACTCGCTAGCAAATTGCCTGTTTTTATGTGGCAATCGCATCGATGAAGTGTGATTAATGGCACATTTCAATGTGAGTCTTGTAATTAAGGCGCGGCGCTAGACGATTTATTGGTGTTGATGCCACAGCTGTGTCAACGTGCCCGAGCAACGAATGTACCTTGACTCTGGCCCCGCTCACGAGCTGCAGCCAAATGTCGCTCTTTAATTGCGTGCTTAGCACGAGCGTCGCTCATTAAGCAACGCATCAAAATTGATAAACCAACCCCCAGCTGGGCAGAGAGGTGCCAGGCACAACCACGACAGTCCTCGACCCCTCGACCCAGCCACACATAGAAACATCGAGCGCTGTCAGCGACGCGTTGCAGCCACGGCTGGTTCACCCGGGGGCACACTGTGGCTGCATTAATTGGGTGAGGATGGTCACGACAACAGTGGCGACAGGCACGAGAGTAACTCTGATGCTGCTGCTGTTGCTGTTGCGGCTCACCTTAGTCCAGCCCCAGTCCAGCATAATTATGCAACATTTTGCCTGGTCGCGTGTCCAGGCATGGGGCCTGACTATCTTTATCAGCTGTGTTGTTTAATGAGAAGCGCACACCCACACCAATTCACACCGATCTACGCATAAATAAAAGAAGAAAAGTTCATAAATTTTTATGAACTTTGGAGAGGTCCTTTGATTAGATTGATAGCCACACGCAATGTAAGCCGAACTGTCGGCTCGGCTTGTTACGGCCGCTGGCCTTTGCATTTTCATTTAATTGCATATTTGCCTATTTGCGAGCACCGAAACTTGTTACCGTTTCAATTCTTGTTACCTGTAAATAAAGGCACCAGCCGGCAGTCGACAGTCGACAGCTTGAGCTAAAACTTTGCTCATTAGTAAATTTTATGGCGCGAGCATATGGTCCAATAGCTGCGTATAGCATGAGTAGTTTCGGGTGCGCTGGTGCTCTTGGCAGTTAGTTAGAATATTTAATTACTGATTAATTAACTTGGCAGCATTAGCTGCTTTCGTTGGGCACTGCCCTAGCAAATTGAACTTGCGAGGATTTGCTAATTAAAAAAGTTTTCCAGCAGCGGCAGCAAGGTGTTTGTGATCTACTTGGCCCATTGTATGTTTGTCAGTTGCACAACTTTTGACATTTATTGACAGCAGTATACACATGCGTTAACAGTCCAGCGTAGTCCTTTTCGCTCGAGCTGCGGACCTGGGCTTTTTATAAATAGCCGGCGCAAAAGTTTTGACTATATTTACTATGTATGCTGTTTGTCTCAAAAGACGACTGGAGCTTTGGCCTCTTATCTATTTACGTATTTTATTTCGGCCCTGAGACCCGTAGGCAATTACACATTTGCTTGTTTGCGACTATTGATTGGCTTTCTGCACAGGTGTCCGACTCTAAGCTAAGCACACACATTGCGCCTACAGCTTTCGGTTGTCTGAAACATGACCGCGCCTTGTGCTCGCCGACCTGAGCCTTGTCAAATTACCGCAGCTACTCCATCATATTTAATTCAAGACCTGGCAGGTGCAGTCACACACATCAGACTTTCCATGTGCATGTGGCTGTCTGTGTTTGTTGCTGGCATGAAGGAGCGTAAATTTATGAGCAAATGCTCAACTTTGCCATAAATGTTCATCATAATGTGACACAATTTCCTCAAGATTTAACGCCGCATCAGCCCAGGCGACGAGCCATCGAATGAGCTTAAGGAATTGGAATGCGAATGGGTGGGGATAGATGAAGGGGTAGGGGTAGGGGCATGCGTATGCGAATGTCATGGCCATTGTGGCATACCCCTTGTGCAATTCTCATGCCTCATAAAGTCGCAAGGCGCATAACTCGTTTTCCTTTTGCTTCCGCACAGCGGCTGATGGCAGCTGCCATAAATTTTAAAACGAAATAAAAATAATAATATTATAAGAAATATACATTTTAGCTGAAGTCGACGCGTTGACATACATGTGCGCGTAGATGTTGTATGGATAGACATAGCATTGCTTCTTATCAAGCACAGAGTGGGCGTGGCAGACGGCACTGAGTCCTGACGGGCAATCACAGTTCGTGCGATGACTCTGCCCTAAGATGCTGTCAGGGCGCGACAACAACAGCACAGATTGCAATTGCCGCTGTGTGTGGGTGTGTGTGTGTGTGTGTAGGTGTGCATGTTGATGTGTAATATCATAAGCGTGCGTCTGACAAGCATAAGCACCACTGCTGTCACTGTCACGGCAGCAGCAGCAGCAGCAGCAGCATCACCAGCATCAGCGCCTGCCAGCAATGCGTGTTATTACACCGCGCGGCATACTTTTAGCGCCACTCAGAGCACATTTCACTTTCATTGTATATGTGTGTGTGTAAATAAAACTTGAATTATGACAAAAGGCATGCATCAGGCAGCAGCAGCAGCCACGGCAACAACAATCATAAGAACTATGGCCTGATAATGCGCTCTTCACTGACTTTGCTCGACTTCAAGCGTGTGTTTACGTTTAACATGTCGTATGCGCAATTTGTGAAATATGCGAGCGCTTTCCCAGCAAGCATGAGCAGTAACTTGCCCCTGCGTGCCTGCGTATGTGTGTGTGGTGTGTGTGAGTAAGCAATTAGTTGCCTTTTCAGCTGAAATAAAAGCAATTCGGATGAGAGTTCCGTGTGGGTCGGGCGCAGACGGACGCGGAGGCGGCGGCATTGAACAAACAGCAGCTCATTAATATCCTTTATGCGTTTATTACAGCACCCGACAGCATCTTATGAAAAGATTAATAAATGCGCAGCAGCAGCCATAACCCAAACAACAACAGAAGGAACAAGAGGAAAAAACAGTACTAATTAGTTCAACAATGGCACAAGCCCCTAACGCATGACTGTTCACATCAATCAGACAATATTATATTATTGATGGCCACAAAACGTTCGACAAAATCATTTATTAACGTCTGCTAATGGCGAGTAATTCGCGAGCATTCAATAAGCTTACTGCGATTACGTTTGCCAATAATACAATATATATTTTAGCCAGCTTCCTGCATACATTTATCAGCTGACACTTTGGCCCGCATCCCTTTGGACGGCTTTCAACTTAAATAAATAAACACTTTTTTTAGCTAATGCCTTTGCACTTCATTTTACTTTTGTCGCTTTGGCCTATTTCGGACTTTTTCTGCTGCACACGTTAACTCGTTTTATTAAGCTGCACTCGTCCATTTGCGCTTTTTACCCTTTCGCTGCATAATGGCTACAAATGGGGCAGAGCAAAGCCAGGCAAATGCTTTAAAAAGCTCAGCGCTGATATCTGGTTACACGTAGACCAGATTTGCATATATCACATCAGCCATAACAGCATTCAGGCTTGTTAGCTGGTTCAATAAATTGTGAATCCCTTGAAATGAGTTCAGTTTAAGTGATAATTAAATTTTAAATCCATGATGCAGTTTTATGGGTGGGGAAAAGGGAAACATAATAGGTTTTCCGAAAAGTCTCTACCAGCAGCTGCGCAAAATATTAATTATTTTAAGCTTTTCAAATACTAAATGAGATTTGCCATTAAAAGATTTGGAAATATTTCTAAAAATTTACTGAAGTTCTAGCTCAATTGTCTCTGCTTAGCTAAGCATTGGAAGGGAGGCAGGCAGCTCACTACTTTCCTGATCTTACTTATCTTACTAATACTACTTGATTATTTAGACTATCAGCATTTACGCTGGCAAGCCTAACATCCTGGCAGAGCTCGAGGCAAAAGTTGGCAAAGCTGTTGCTCATTGAAAATTCATTTAAAATTGAAAGTTACTTCAAACTCTTATATCTCATACATAATGGCATTGATGAGTCATTAAAATAAAGCTTAAAATAATATAATACCTTAAGTAGTTTCAATTATATTGCAAATTAATTTCCGACTGCTCCTACTTGGTCACCCTGTGCTCACTCGAACTTTATGATCAAATTATTCCATCAGTTTATTCGTACCGCTCTCATACTTCTTGTATATTTTAATGGACTTAAGTCTAGTTAAATAATAAAAATGTGAAAGAGAAGTTAAACTGTAGCCATTCGATACTAAGTCTTGTCTTAGTTTTGATATAATAAAAGCAATATTGTAACGTCTTAGCTATAGTTTGGGAACTTTGTTAACTAATTCTTAAATTTAATTTGGCTTCGAGTTTATGACTGGCTAAACTTTGTTGCGTGAGCCACAGTGCAAACTATGTGAATCTCTTCGTTTGACTTTTGTAGTAAAATGCCAAATACAAACACTGCTTGGCTATGGGGCAGAAAGCCAGGGCCAGGGGCAATTGCCAAAAGCTGCGGCCTCTGCTGTCATTCTCAGGACACCCCGAGCCCACCCGCACACACTCCACGCAGTCAGCGTGTTGCTCTGACAGCTTCATATAAATAAAGCGGGTGCACAGACAGTGAGATATACATATATAGATACAGCTGCTATTGCTGCTTCTGGTTGCTGTGTATCCTGGTGCTGCGGTTGCCCAAAATCCACCTTAAATTTGACAACATGCGGCAGTCGCACAGGTGGCGCAGCTGTCGCTGGTGTTCA